CAACCGAGATAGATCTTTTCTTGAAGATTAACAAGTTTTTTCCGAGATTTTTTTTTCTTAATTTAAACTTGGAAAAAAACGAGGTCAATTTCATAATTTTTTGGATTAATTAAGCCATTCGAGGCGATATGAGCCACCAGTGGGTCACGCTAAAAAGTGGCCTAAAAGCTCATTTACCACAGAAAAACTTGAAAGTCTCTGTCATACTTTGATGAAAGAGCCTGATTCTTCTACCACTGATAAAGAAATGTTCATAGCTCATACTTATTAGAGAAACATTGATAAAAGCTGTTTTGAAATATAATAGCTGTCATAAATAAAGGAATGGAATCTTTCACGAATTATGAAAAACCAATATTCATATCGTTGCGAATGGGTTAAGTACTCCGAGATCTATTTGACGTCATCCCATCCTGAGAAATAGATATTGCTCTTTTCATATATTATCTTATTTCCTTATTATATCAAGTTCTACTATAATTATAGTTCAATGTATAACTGAGATATCTCGTTGGAAAAATATCAATGCATTGTTTATCAAAAAGAAAGTGTTCATTGTCTACAAATGTATTCGTGATAGGTCGAACTATACTTGCATTTTATTATCATTTTTCTTAAATGAGTCAAATAGATATATTTGATAGATCATGCCAAAAAGCATAGGTCATAACAAAAAATTTGTAGATCATAATAAGAAACATATAGATCATTACATTTTTATGCGATCAATAACAATAAAAAAATACCAATAAAAAGTGTTTCTTCTAATTCTTTTTAATGCGATCTGCTGATTGAGATCGTGCGGGACGTTCTTTTCTAAAAAGAAGATCTTCATTGGTAAATAAAAGAAAATTAGATGATCAATTATTGAATACCGAAAAAAAATATTAACTATGTTATTACTTTATAACAGTCCCGTTTGGCTAAACGACTGTTCATGTTTTAATTACGTCACCAAGAGAGAGAGAGAATGTCGAAAAAATGACAGTCACGATGGTGAGGGAAAGAGGAATCTGAGATATGAAAATGGTATCATTTCAAAAAGTTTTGAAATTTGTATGCTTAATCATATAATAAATTTGATAATTGAGACATATTTTTCTGTCTCATGCACGTTAATGATAATTGAGTTCTTTGAGAAATCGATCATCGTAAAGGAAAAATATTGATGCTAAGCTTAGACACTAATTAAGCGGTAACAGTTAACAGTGAGCATCTCACAAAATACACAAAAGAGTATGTAGCTCATGGTCATCGATTGGAATCAATTAGAAATCAACAGAGTTACTCTGAATTTCAGTTACAGAAGTTCTAAAAACTTTCTCGAAACATCTCAGAAATACACTGAAATCACTTCTACACGAGAACAAGTTGACCTTGACATTTCCTTTATCAATGAGGTCTGAATAGAGTTGAACCAACACTGTTATAAATGGAGAAAAGATGTGTTCATACATATGAGAATAATCTCTCAAATATTTTCTGATTTAACTTCATATTGCTTGATTAGCGTTATCTTCTTTATACTTTCACCTACTGGAAGTGGATGTGATAGGCACAAAGAAAGAAGAACGCTTTTTAGGATACTCTTTTGTTGTATAGATTTTACAATTATGTTAAAAATAAACTATCATCCTAATTTTGAGAAAGGTCTTCCTGTTAAGTTTCTATCAACAACCATATTATATATATCGAGACTAAGGCGTTTGGTTTAAAATTTTTTCTCTAAATATAGAATTAACTCACTCGTAGAAACAGAAAATGACTATGTAGAAACAAACTGATTGATACTATAAGTAATATGTCTCATAATCTTTGATGCTAATTATTCGTTACTTTAATAGTCACTGAACAAAAGGCTTTTTATTCTATAAGATGCTCAAAATATCTTATTGATGAGATCATTTAGGGGGGAAGCGGTCAACGGAAAAATGGCAAGTGCTGAAATGATTGAAGAGTTCAAATTTTGCAAGAAAATCATGACGTATTACGGAAAACAGATTCTAATAGGTACTGTCGTTCAAAAAATTCAAGAATTGGATAAAATTGTCCAACAAATTTCTTCAAACTTGAATTTTCTCCGAACTCAAAGAAAGTTGCCTAATATGTTTCTCCAAAATTGGAGAAAACTGCTTAGTAAAATTCCATATATCCAAGAAAACTGACTTGAAATCCGAAGAAAGTCCCAGCCAAAGTTTCCCGAAGCAGGAGATGACTTCTCATTCCTCCCGATCGCATCATCCCTGCTCATCGATGAACAATATTGATGATTGTAGAATTATCTCGAACAACAGATTGAACTTAACTATGAATATTGTTCATATCCGAATTTTCAAATAAAAATGAACACGTGCAAAGACTTTTCTTATATAAATATTAAAAACAAAGAATGATTGGCAAGAATACACATTTATGCTGCTGAATAAATTAATGTTTTTGCTCTAGAATATTTAAATAAAATGTCATTAACAATGTTATTGACAATAACATTTGTCAAAGTTTAACAAAAGTCAAAAAAATCTTGTTGAGTTTTTCGTAAAAAGAAAAAGTCAATGTTATGTTAGAGAAACATAATCATTGACAAATGAAGTTTTCCTCATGAACGTTCGAGATTTATTCATCATTGAATTTTATACAAATTAGATCAACACCTAATATAATAAAATCTAGTTTTCAACAATAATCTTATTAATAAATAGAAACAATCAAAATGGTTCGTAGATAGTTAAAAGTGATGTCTACTTTTGTTCATTCATATTTTTAATATTTGCTTTTCGAAATCAGAGTAACAAATTCAGATAAATTGAAGTCAATGATATGTTTTTTTTATTTGCTTCGATTTATTTTGTAAATATTGATCAAACTCACTTTCAAGTTTTCAATAAACATTTGATGAATGTGTTAGAAAAGGAAGCGTCATAATTGATATTATTTGGTATGAATTATTTTCATTTATTGAGCAAGAACTATTAATAAGTAAAAAAAAAATTTATGGAAATACTTGGGTATGAAAAGCCTTTCTTTGGCTACAATACATCTTATGAAAATTTATTACTTATTATTGTACTACTTCGAATCCATGGTGATTTACGTAGGCGAAATTTAGTTTACTAGATAACATATTTTAATTACTATAGAAAAAGTCATCTACAGATGTAAATGAATTTCTGTTTTAGACTTTTGAAAAATTTATTATTTTTGTGACAAAACCAATTCCTATCGTTTGAATTGTTGAGTGCAAATTATCAGTATGTCAAAAGAAGAAAAGAGACATAGAATAATAGTTCTAATATAATATATATAAATAATGTTTAATTCAAGATACAAATAGAATCACCAGGTGAAAAATAAAGTCCAACAGTCAATTTCCATGGTAAAGGACAATTTGTGATATCAACGTCTAAACTATGTGTTTTATGCGTTCGTTGATTTGTTAAACTTATTGTTCGTTGATCACAGTTAATAAGTAATTCAATAATATCATTGATTTCAAATTCGCTTTTATAACCGTTAAATTCTTTCTTGGAAGAACCATCATGCCATACATTATCTTGTCCGGAGAAGCCATAACCCGTTTTGCCTATTGAACCGCATCCTGTAGCAGTCGTATCTTTATAGCAAATTCCAAAAAAAGCCCAACTTTCGTTACTCAAATGCTTAATTTGAAAACGAATTTGATGTTTTCCTGATATATATTCACATTTGCCACGTACTGATGCATAACACGAACTTGTATTGTGAGTAGCAATTGTACCATTATCTGAAATAATTATATCACCAAAAGATTGTTCAAAGCGTTCATTTAGCATATCTGTTGTTTCTTTGATAATTATTTTCGATATAAATGGAGTTGTATTGTTATCATAATTAATATTAATTGTTTGTGGTATTATTAAATCATTTTTTAATTCATTGAGTTTTATCATCCATTTGTTCAAATCATTTTCAAAAAAATGCTCATCATCACGAGCTTTCTTTAACTCTTGTCTAAGATATTCTAAATCGTTCTTCAATTTGTCCATATGTTTCTCAATTATATTTAATAATTGTTTTCGAGCATCATTGGCTATTTGATGAATTTTTTCAATAGAATTTTCTTCCCATTGATCAATCTGTTTCATCAATTGATGATCAGAAGATTTTTCCATTTGTTCATCAAAATTCTGTCTTAGTTGATCATAAAAATAAATAACATTTTCATCCATCTGTTTGACTAATTCTTGTCGATGTTCATTTGCATGACGCATGCAAAAATCTTTTGAGCATCCTCGACACATAAAAGTAGCTGGTGGCTTGCCACATGTTATGCAATGCAAGTTGTTTGTCGTTGAAGTTGCCATGTGATAGACTGTTGTATAAAAAATAAAAAAAGCGAACTATGATAAGCAACAAAAAAAAACGATTGTGTAGACGAGTAGATCGAATGACACATTTTAACAGGTAAGAAGAGGAAGAAAATTTCGTAACATGTTTTACCATTGAATAACATACAAAAAAAAGAAAGTCTTAGTAGATGATTTATTTAATGTTTTCGTTTTATTTCTTCGAACAATCGACAATTTATCAATCATTCGACGAAATATTACATATCAGATGAAAACAACTAGAAAGATTCCTTATATATAGAAATCGATAGAAACAATTGGATGTTTACATAAGAAATATTTTTATTATTGACTTGTGCTTTTAATCTCCTCAAGATTTAAAAAAAAAACAAATTTGCATCTAAACTTTTATTAATAGTTTGAATAAAGTATTAGATTATTTTCAATAAATTACAAAAGCAGGCTTCTGAAAAATTTCAAAATCAGTGTCATTTTACAATTAGCAATATCACTTATTAATACTAATAATAACGCTTTTCATAATTCTTTGTTCATTTTGATAAAAACTAATGCTATAAAGTCTTTTCATCGTAAATAAATTAGTCCGATTGATATCAAATTGAAATAAACGAGATTTCATATGTTGATACTTGTTTCAAACGCTCGAGGCACTGATTATATAGCTTTTCTCATTACTGTCATTGGGATTACTGTTGTTTTAGTTATAGTATTATTCGATGGATTAATTCTTAGACGATTCTTTTGTCGATCACAAATAATTAGAATTTGGAATAATTTAATTAATTCTGTTCTAAATGTACGTGATACTAATGTATAACAACAAAATGACGTTGTTATCAAATACACAAGCAATTCAGTTAAACTTCTCAAAAATACTTCAATAGCTTTACGATCTGCTGATTTGCTCACATCATATTGTGTCATTGCCTTATAAATATTAAATGTCATGAATGGTATTGTTGACACAATAAAAATTGCTACTTGTATTAATAATATAAATATTATTTGTTGATCTCGTAATTTCTTTCGTCTATCGACTTCATTATTTGGAATTGTTATTTGACGTTTTTTTCTAGCTTGAAAATGTTGCCATATAAATAAACAATATACAAAAGCAATTACAGATGGCAATGCACCATCCATTATAATAGTATAAAACTCATGATCAATTTCAACATTCTTGTCAGTGAATATACAAGCTATATTTCTTGGATGTTGAATATTAGTGGACATAAACGTATGAGCTGGCAATATGAACCAAATAACATTAATAATGATAATTATTATTCGAGCCGTAGTTACAGAAGATGGATTTCGAATACGAACATAAGTTAAACATGAAAAACAACGATCTATGCAAGCCATAACTAAAAGCCAACGACATGACATAGCACTTGTTTGATTTAAATAAGATCGAGCTTTACAAAAACTTGAAATTGTAGTAAATGGATTTGCAAAATTATAAAGAGCATAAATTTGTGGTATAATTCCTATTGAAAGTAATATTAATGCCCTTATTGATGATGATAATAAATCTTTAATTAAAAAACAAAAAACAAATTAAGTATTATTATTTTATTATTGAATAATTTACAAATACAACATGAATTTGATCGTAATTGACGTTGTAGAAAAAGAATTATATTTATTAAAGAATCAATGGTACCAAGTAGAAATATTGTCGTATGACCATATTGAACTAACAATTTTTGAGCTATATCCAATGAAATAGTTAATGAATACATGTTCACTTTATTTTCTCTAAGCCTGAACAACAGCTTTTGATGATCGTGGAATGGAATCCAAGAATGTCTTTAATAATATAATGTTGTTCCATTGGTCACTTATTTTTTAATATCAAAGGGTTTTTCATAAAAAATGCTCTCAAAATAAGTAAGTTAATTAATCTAATATTCATTTCCAGATATGGTTATAACTGTGGTGATATTCTTAATTAAATATTAATGATACAACTATCCTCATTTCCTGAATGAGAGAAAAAAACACAAAGAAAGCGAATATGGGCACAAATGTTATCTTTTACATAAAATCTGTTTAGTTTTGAATCAGAACTTTTTTTTTCTCTTTAAATTCAAAGAAGATTATCAATATGAAGTCTTTTCTATGAGAACTTTTTGATGCTTTCAATTATCTAATTTAAAAATAAAAATCTTTGGTAATACTCAATAGGCTGACCTTATCTATAAATAATAATTATGATTATTATGGTTAAATTATGTTGTCAGTGTTGAATATTATTATCATTAAGAAATAAAATTGCGAGATTCTTCTTCATAAATATGTCTTATTAATCATTGTTATCACAAATGATAAATCATAATAATAAAAGATTCATTTGGTAGTTTAAAATGAATCAATGAATGAATGAAAATTAATTATGGTTTAAGTGAAAAAAAATTAATAATTGATTGATACTTAAATATAAGAGAGTTGAATATTATTCTTAATGGAACTTGACATATTGTATCAAATGGTGTGCGTGGGCATGAATTTGTCAGTATTAATCGAAGTTGAAAGATTCGAACCATACTTTTACTCTTTTCTTTAGTATAACTTGAAACATATGATGAAATCACAAATTCATAATTTAGTCTATCAACCGTCGTTATTGATTTTCGATGAACAATATGTATTTTACCAATTCGTTGTATGTCTGATCATATGTTATTTTTCTATCATTATCTCATTTTTTTCCGATAATGTTAAATAGTGATGATATATTAAAAAGAAACACTTCTTCGAAAGAACAAACAGTTCATTCTCATAGATTAAAATCCTTATATGATGATATCTCAAACTAATATTTCAAGTAGATTAATATCTAGTTAATGGCTTAACTATTCATTTTGAAACATGAATTTTAATAATAATAATTGTATTACTAAAAATTCAGATGATATCGTTTCTTCTTCAAAAACTTTCATAATATTTAAAAATTTTGGTGATCAACTAGATATTCATTATGTTATACCAAGACATCAAATAAATTTATATTAGAATGAAGCTGATGATCGAAAAAGAAAAATGATTATTGCTACAACAGCAAAATATAAAACAAAAAATGTATTCTTTTTTTCTTATTTTAACGAAAACAAGACGATATATTTAAAATTCCACTTATTGATGATGTTGAAATGATAATGGTATAAAATTCATGATAATCAATTCCAGTATGCGTAAAGAGAGAATAGGATAGTTGGCCATTTAAAATCTTGCTATCGATATAAATAGAAATGTCTCAGGAGTAAATAATAGTTTCATTTTCTTCTTATAGATTTCAAAACTCGTCAATACAAGCAGAATGACATAGTTTTCATAATGAACGTTTAGTAAGAAAAAAAACAGGGAAACAGGATGTGCGTATGTGTGTCAATATTTCTAATTGCGGCTGTTGACTAAAGAGTGTAAAAAAGAAAGAATATCTGCATCGACATCCACCATCTATAGTCACATTCACTTTATTAAGATAGAAAAAATCGAGATAAAGCAAACAAAAATATTAACTACATGTGCCGATTATCGACTGAATGATTTTAAATGAAGTCAACGAAATAGATAATAACTATTCATGCAAGACTTTTATTTGGAAAAAATTAGTTTGAATTCAGTTAAATTTTCTCTAAGAACTGTCTGAACAGTTCGTCGGATTGAAACTAATACATTACTATTACATTAGCAGAAGTAAGGTGTGGATATCGTTCTTTTTTTTAAATGCTGTCTCGTGCGGGTACAGTTTTTTCAGCCAGATCCTGATACTTGAACTCGATTGTACTCGAATACTAGGTGCAAATCAACATCCAGTAGATAGTTTTACAATCATAGTACAATCCATGAACAGCAACAGATACAACAGATCATTTTGAATTCCACAAAAAAAGCAACTGAATCAAACAATTGAGGATTTACTTGATGTCTTTCTGTCTCTAAAATCCGATCAAATTTTCTAATTACATGTTTGATTGTTATTGATGAAGATGGAATGGTATGAAATTTAGTATTAATGCCAAAGGTTATGTTTGTGGATACATGCATGAATCGTTTTTTCTATCACGAACATTCCTGTTCACTTTTTTGACAGTTCATTTCTCTCTCCATGTATTGTGTAACTTCGTTATATTTTTACCTCAATATACCTAGATAAATTTCCATTAAAAAGGTATTCTCTTAGTAAAACAATAATTCTTTTCACTTCTGTGACCTGTTCTCAAGTACAAAACTTGCGCGATTATGATCGAGCTAATTTACACTTCTGCGCTTTTTTTTAATAAATAGCAGACTGAGAAACGAAAAATATTTTGAAGTGTCAACTTTTGATTAATTGTCAAACTAAATGCCGTACATGTTCACAAACCAGTACCCGATCCTATTGCAGAACAATACTATTCAATTAAGCACACACACAAACAATCTATAACCATCAATATTGTACATGAAATTTTATTGATAATAGTAGTAAACAAGGAAAATGGCAAGAGATCACAAAAGCAGGTTTCTAAACAATTTAAATACCACTATTGGAAAAACTAATGTTCTAATGTCTGTTAATCACATATTAATTGATTGGATTTGTGTTAAAGTCAATTAAATCAATTTTCATCGCTAGACTATTGTTGTGATGACTTGAGGCATTGATACGATAGCTGTTCTATTTGTCATCATTGTTAATTTAATATTATTAGTCATTGCAGTATGCGATGGAGTTATTTTTGAATGATTTTGTCCCCAATTACAAATAATAATAGGTTTTAATAACTTAATTAATTCTGTTCTAAATGTACGTGATACTAATGTATTTGAATAAAATGACAATGTTATCAAATAGATAAGTAATTCAGTTAATGTTTTCAAAAATGCTTCAATGGCTTTACGATCTTTTGATTTGTTGGTATCATATTGTGTCATAGTATTATATATATTAAATGACATGAATGGTATTGTAGATATTATAAAGATTGTTACTTGCATTAATAACATAAATATTATTTGTTGATCTCGTAATTTCTTTCGTCTATCAATTTCATTGTTAGGAATTATTATTTGACGTTTTCTTCTACTTTGAAAATGATGCCATATGAATAAACAACATATGAAAGAAATTAAAGATGGTAATGCACCACCCATTATAATTGTATAAAAACGATGATAAATTGCTACATCATTGTTTGTTATTGCACAAGCTATATTTCCTGGAGGTTGAATATTATTGTAAATAAGTGTATGGATTGGTAATATTAACCAAATAACATTAATAATAATACTTAGTTTTCGAGCCATTTTTACAGAAGATAAATTGCGAATAGAAGTATAAGTTGAACATGAAAAGCAACGATCTATGCAAGCCATAACTAAAAGCCAACGACATGACATAGCACTTGTTTGATTTAAATAAGATCGAGCTTTACAAAAACTTGAAATTGTAGTAAATGGATTTGGAGAATTATAAAGAGCATAGACTTGTGGTACAATACCTATTGAAAGTAATATTAATCCACTTATGGATGATGATAATAAATCTTTAATTGAAAAATAGAAAAAAGACAATTATTAATTATTGTTTTATCATTAAATAACTTACAAATGCAACATGAGTTTGATCGTAATTGACGTCGTAGAAAAAGAACTATATTAATTAATGAGCCAATGGTACCAAGTATAAATATTGTCGTATGACAATATTGAACTAACATTTTTTGAGCTATATCCAATGAAATAGTTAATGACGACATATTCACCTTAGTTCCTCTAAGTTCCAACAACAGCTTTTGATGATTATTGTGGAATAGAAGTCAAGCGCTTTTTTTTTTGATAATGTAATATTTTCTCTAAGTAACTTTTTTCCGACGTCAAAAAATTTTCCATTCAAAAAGAAAAAAAAAAAATTTGAACTGTAAGTAAGTTAATTAATCTAGTATTCATTTCCAGATATGATCCTACTAGTGATGAGGTTCTTAATTAATGTTAATTCATAGTAATGGGAAAAAACATGAAAGTGAATATGAATATAGATGTTGTCATTTGATAAAAATTAATGTATGTAGTTTTGAATTCGAACCTTTTGATCTTTTAAGACGATAACTATTCACAATATGAATTCTTTTCAATGAGAACTTTTGACACTTTTAATCATGTAATTTAAAAATAAAAATATTTAATAATACTAAAAAGATTGACGTTGTTTATAAAGTATATTCTAAATGAAAAAAATTTAAGTTTTTAATAACAAAAAATCGAATTAACAATTGATTGATACTTAATTATAATTGAATTAAATATTATTCTTCATGAAAGCTGACATATCGTACGGCAGATTTTGAGTAAGTATGAATTGACCAGTATTACTCGATATTGACAAATTTGGACTACTCCCAGAACAAACAGTGACTGACAGAAAAACTCGATGATTTACTTCGCATACGTGCAGTTGAGAAAATTGGATAATGCAATATATACATCCTTACCTGTCGTTATTAGTATCTCTTATTTCTGACTTTTTTCTTGTGTACCATGTTTTATCACTTCGTTGTATGTCTGTTCACAATTCCTGTGCAGATAACTAATTCGAACATCATCAATGAAAATATTGAGAAAAAAAACGAAAAAGTAGCGGATAAGCAAGTATATTACAACAAATATAACGAGACATGTGTATACACAAATTCAATTAAAGCAAAATTATTTTATGTGATAGATCACAATTTTTGATCAAATATGATAACATCTATAG